AATAGTCATACAGCACTGAAACAAACCCTTCAGTCCAACCAGTCTATGCCAAACATAATTCCAAACTAAACTAGTCTCACCTGCCTGCTCCTGGCCCACATCCCTCCAAACCTTTCCTGTTCATGTACTTAACCAAATAGCTTTCTAATGTTGTAATTGTACTTGCACCAACCACTTCCTCAGGAATTTCATTCCACATGCAAACCACCCTCTTGAAAAACAAATTTGCTCCGTCTTTTTTAAATCTCTTCCCACTCATCTTAATATGCCCCCCAGTCTTAAAGTCCCCCATCCTAGGGAAAAGACACCTACCATTAACTCTGTCTATACCCCTCATTATTTTATAAACTTCAAGGTCACTTCTCAACCTCCTATGCTCCAGTGGAAAAAGTCCGTCTATCCAGCCTTTCTTTATACTTTTCCTTTAGATTTGAGTTATAAAGTTAATGGCAGAACCCTGAACAGCATTGATGTAGTGAGGAATCTTGAGATTTAAGGCTCTAGCTCCCTGAAATTGGCCACAAGTAGATAGGGTAGTGAGGAAGACATATGACATGCTTGCTTCATTGGTTAGGGCATTAGGCACAAGAGTCCGGATATCGTGTCGGTGGAGGCAGATATAATAGGGGCATTTTGAGGGACTTTTAGATAAGCACATGAATATGCAAGGAGGAGAGGGATATGGACCAAGGGCAAGCAGATGGGATTAGTCTAACTTAGCATCCTGTTTGGCACAACATTGTGTGCCAAAAGGCAGGTTCCTGTGCTGGACTGTTCTGTCAGTCTTCTCATTAATCTAATGGTATTTATAAAAGTTTACTCACCTCTGCCCAAAAAAAAATAACATCTTAAAGCCACAGCATCACCACAGTGGAAGAAGCCTGACTTTGGGACTGATGCTTGATCACAGTTTCATTGTTTAGTTGACTGCCAAGTTTCTTCAAGGAATACCCCCGTCACACTTCTTGTCAGCTTTGAAGAATCGTCTAAACTTAAAATGTTAGGGTGACTTTACCCAGTGTCTGAAATCTACCTCCGTCATGGACCTGGTGACTGTATCAGGAATTCTTGATTTAAGGAGCTCGAATGGATTTTGTTGCTTGACACAAATGGTGCCCATCACCAAAAAGTGGAGTAAAATAAGAATAAAATGTTTAATTGCATAAATTTAATACTGCAAATCTATTAATATTGTGTAACAAAGGTCTATGGAATTTTTTTTAAACAGATGGAGTAGGGAGCCTCCAAAACAAAAGGTTTGAGTGTCCCAGGCATAAACAGCACTCTTGCCAAATTTAACTTTTTAATGCTATTTTATTTTACAAATGGTTTTAAGAATTGTCATTTTTACATTTTTTTTTCCAACAGCATTCTCCAACTGAAACTGTGAAACAATGTGACAATAGAGACCAAGACAATAAGCAACCTGGTGATGATCCCAGGGCTGCCTCTGAATCGCTTCAAACTCCACTTGTCTCAAATGTTGAAAATTCCAGTGGGACTTAACTTGGAGAAGCAAATGAAAATATCTCAATTTCCACCTTTCTGGTCTCTAATGCACAGATGTACCAGAGTTGGGTGACTAGTATAATTATTTTAATAAAGCTACTAAATCAAAAATATTGCAATGTTAAGTTTACGGGTGAACAAGTATCTTTTATCTAGATTATCGTCTCCTGTTGAGTGAGTCAGGACACATATTTTCTGCAGAATCACAGAAGATAAAATTTGTCACAATCTTACCAGCACTTAAAAAGCACTGTTTATGGTAGCATAATCATATAAAGCCACAAACTGTAAAGAGATTGATTAGAATAAAATCCTAATTTAATTATTTCCCTAATTTATATAAACTGTCTACTTTGGTAAACAACTGACTTTAATTCAGCTCAACTGAAGAGTTAAATGTTCAATTGTCTGTGAACTATAATTTCTGCATTACAGTAAGGGATGACCTATATACAGATCTTGGAACATAAATCTACTGATTGCTGGAAAGAAATTCCATAAGTAATCATTGTTCTTTGAAGGCACATTGCTGATAAGTAGCTCAGAGATCCTTTCTCTCTTCCCTAATAAACACTTAATGATCAACCAACATTTGCCCTTCAAAAATTTTTCAACGAATTCCATTTGCAAACTTGCTTTCAAACCTATTTGTGAGCAATGCCGATAGCATTGAAACCTTGACTTGCCGATGGCAGTGTTGACTTTTTGTTTATTCATTCGTGACCTTGAGGTGACCGATGGTGTAAGCTGCCTTTGAACTGTTGGGCTTTTATAATAACATGACAGAGAGAGTTACAGAATTGTGATCCAACAAGGGAGGAGGAACACCAATTATATTCCTAACAGTGTGACGTGTACTCAAAGGAGGACTTGCAGGTGGAAGTGCTTACTTGTCTGTGGTTGTACTTCTACTGCTAGTGGCAGAGATCATGGGTTTGAAAGGTGCTGTTCAAGAATTCTTGGAATTGCCATCACGCTACAGTGCCAGTCCACTGGTGGTGCAGGGAGTGAATGTTTTAAGGTGGTGGAGGAAGTTATCTAGACAGCTAGTTAGTGCTCTGGATTAATGGCAAAATGTGTTGTTTTTGCATAAGCAATAAAAGCAATCTTACCGCCATGAGGGAAGCCACTTCCCATGTCGAGGTAGCTGCACTGCTGTTTTAAGCAGAGACCAGGAAGGGAATCACAGCTCCTTATCATGATTAAATGTGTAGTCAATGACTGTCTATAGGTAGATAACCTAACAGTAAGCTTTCTCAAATCTTGATTTTTTTGTTCAACAGATTATAGTGCAATTTAAACTGCAATGAGGACATCAATTTGTTCTTGTTGGTAATTGTTGAGATGGAAAAGCCAAAGTTTACTGGATTAATTAATAATAAACAAGACTGAGTGATCAAGGAAGAGAATAATTATTTACATCAAATATCCAGTTCATAATAAGTCAATATTTATTAATTAGGCTCTTATGCATCATATTGCTCAGTTTTCAAAAAGGTTAATTTTCCACATTAGCAGATATTTCAAACCAAAGTACAATATTAATTTTATACAAAAACAAGCAATTCAGCAAACAGCATTTTTTTCCCACATTTACATTCTTCAAAAATACAAATCCATTGTTATTCCTCACTCTTTGGGTTTTGGAGACATTCTCTTCCTTTGGAAGCAACTGTAATTTTTCTCTTTCATATTAGCATTCAGGAATGAAGACAATTCTGTATAGGTATGCATTTAAATAGATCCATTGATACAGTGCATGCTGCAGTGTTTGATCTCCAGTATCCCTATCCCAACCTTGGCTTCATTATGTAAGGCCTGTTGAACATTACAGAAAAGTCAGTAGAGAATTATTTTTCCTTCCCACACTACAGTTAACTGTGTTCAGCTTTGAAGTTGTATATAGTCAAGATGCACTAATCCAAACATGCATTGTGCTGACTCAACAAATGACTAGACAAACAAGTCACATATAGTGTGCAGCATAGATGTTACAAGGTATGTAGCAAAGGGCTTATTTTACTGTCACCATAATAGATCATTGTACTTTAAGGATCAACCACTTATGACAGATCAAGGTTAAGTACTTAATTTTTTTTTTTTTAAAATAAAGAAAATCAATTCTTTAGGATAATACATTGCTAGCAAGACCAGTGATTATTGTCTATTCCTAGTAAACATTTACTCTTGCTTCAAAAGATGGTTAAACTGTCCAGCACTAGAATAGAATTAAAGTCTAAATACATGTGGGCACCTACAATCAATTTAGCTCCAATGGTATTGGTGGACTCACCCACTGCATCAAAGCAGCTTATCCCACTTGAAAAAACAAACAAAAGTTTGGGCAAGTACAGAAGTATGAAGAATAATACAATAAAAGCAATCTTACCGCAATGAGGGAAGCCACTTCCCATGTCGAGGTAGCTGCACTGCTGTTTTAAGCAGAGACCAGGAAGGGAAAAATCACAAAGTCAGTTGTCCCTCACCAAGACAAAGGGACAAGACAAAATGATATTACCAAGAATAAAAGCTATATTACATGTCTTTACACTGGTTCAATTTTCAAGAATTGTCACTGATGTTAGTACTCACCCATGAAACCAATTCAAACAGTTCCTAAGTCCACTTCAAGATTCAATGAATCCAGGTGATGTGGCACAAAATAGTATCCCGATGCTACATACATCACAGCCATAGCTTTCCACATTACGTCAGAGCCAATAAAAATAAATCCAAGTAAATGTGGAGCATTCTCATTAGTCAGCAAGGGAAACAGTGGGCATATCCACATGTGTATGCACAGCCTTCTACTGTACTAGGGGCTTGGAAGAGTTGTTCTCCAAACTATAAATCTGTTCAGTAATAAACCTACCTGAAGACCAGTACATAGAAGTTTCAGCTCAATTTACCGCTAGTTTGCCAGCGCAGGTTGAGAGAGAATTTTGATTGGAATCACCAGTTGGCATGTGCAATTGATTTAAAAATGGACTTCAAATGAGCTCACTATGCATAAATTTATAATATATGTACTTCTAAACAAGAAATTGCTTCTGCATCACATATCCAGTTAAATGGTTATACAAGTGGTCTGACTCCCTAGTTTGCATAGAGCCTAATAAAAAGCAAAGTGCCACTAACAAAGTGTACAAAATGACTAAAAGGGCCAGCCATATGAAAAGAACTAGCACTTTCCAAGGAGATAATCAGAGCTCCCCGAAGTACTTGTGCTCACCTACGCTGGTATTTAAGCTCTGACATGGACATAGTCTCTACTCTTCATACACCCACAAAGTTTTCAAAAGTAACAATTACAATTAAAGCAAAATATATTTACAACATTTTTGCAACAGAAACAAAATACTCCTCTCAGTAAAGAGTGCAACAGAACACAATTGCAGATTAATTAACCTAAAGTGCTTTATTATAAAGGGATAAACAAAAGAAAGACTTGTACCCTAACAGTTCTCCAAATGTAGAGATTCAATGAAAATGGCATGGTTAAAACCTCTGATAAAGCTTTCATTAATTCTCTCTCCTTTACCCAATTGAACAATATGGAATCATATGTTTCACTGTGCATCAAAACAATGAGCCCTTAATACCATATATATATATATTTAAGATTTCAAAAATAGAAGGCCAAAGTTTCTCCTTTGGGAGGGAAGGACATTACTGCAATCAGCAAAGAGATGGATGGGAAGATTTTCTAGCATAATTCCATACTAATCACATAGTTTTAACAAAGATTTTGGCAAAGAATTCTCTAGAGAAAGTGGAGGAGTGAAGGCGTTGTGTTCTCAATCAGATTTTACACAAATCTTCACAATTGTTGCCTATCCCTGCTCTGCCGGAATGTAGAAAAGCCTTGTGCAGCTTAATTACAAACTCAACAAGCATGCTGCCATTGCACAAGGTGTCCATTTCAATATGTTGTTTCGTAAATCAGGATGAGTGAACTCAACATGCCATTTTTGATCAGTGAATTTATATTGGCTGAATTGGGAAGATTCAAACTTTTTGAAAAGCAGAAAAAAAAAATCAGTGATACAGACTGTAAATGATATAACAGTGGCCCGAACTACATTAGAGGTCAGGAAAGTTTTCTGCACATAGCAAATTCAACAATAATCACAATTTCAGTGCAGGTTACAAGAAGAAGAACATGTTCCACTAAGGTGCATGAAAATATAAAACCAGTCATAATCTTGAAAAAAAATTAAGATATGGATGTGAAGTACTATCAGTCAACAATCTATGAGGCTGCAAGAGAAAGAACCAATTTAAATTCGCAGAATTATCACTTCACATATAGTGCACTTATCTTCAGATATTCAGAGACAACTATGACAGCTGCAATGGTCAGAACAGGAGATCTACTGACTTTGGCCTTACAGAGGCTGCAATTTCTCAATGACTTTGTCCACTGGTTGTCTTTCCATTTGTGATCACCAAAGTTCATAACTTTAAGTCAACAGCTATTTTGTTAAATTTTTTAAACTTTGGAGTTTAATGGGGGGGGGGGAAAAGGATCATTAAGCATTTTTTGAAGCCACAATATTTCAAGTGACTGAAATAGACTCCCATTTCAATGTCAGAATTGATTTGGATCCAAATCAAGGAATACTATGTTATTTTTGCTGCATTAACAGAGAACAGGCAATATACATACCTAAGCATGCAACTGCTTATTCAATTCTTATTTTTAAGTTGAAACCAAAACACCTCAAGCAAGGCTACCATTTATCTTGGGACTGAGTTTCCTTTTAGTTTGAAACAAAAAGAAACACTGCGCCTGCACTTAAGTATAAAGACAATTATAGTTCATTACCAAATGTAAAATGAGTGTTAAACTGACCTTTTGTCTCTTTCTCCAAATCACCTTTCTTCAGCCAGAGGTGGAACAAGATAGTCAATTTGAAAATCACTTTAGGTTACAGGTAGCACACATTTACACAGGTAGAACCTCCTCTTTCTCAAAAAGAGATTGAAGCACTTTAAACCCATGTGATTTGAGCTTTAAATCAGAAGTCACATCAGGAGTTTACTCCGACATTAAAATTGTCAACCACATTTAAGTTAGTGAGACGCACACATTTAATATTGGAAACAGCTTCCAACAAGACCTACTGCTGCAAATTTGTTTTAATCAAACCCAAGGAACTGATTTACTTTCTCATGCCTGCATATGGCATGTGAAATAAATGATAAATATCAATTAGACTGAATCATTTTGCTATCCCAAGCAAACAGGCAACGAACCATTGGCAATTAGTAAATAGATAATAATGCACTTATTTCTGGACTGGCAAATAACAGGCAAAAAAAAAAGTGTTCTGTACTGTTGATGTTCAGTTTTCAATGAAATGTGTACAAATATTCCCACAGATTAACAACTGGTTTGGGGGTTAAGGTATTCAACTAGTATAAAAGCCACTGCTGGAGAGTGTTTAGATTCAAAGTGCCCTCGAACAGTTCAACTATAAATTATTCAAACTTCATGAGCACAGTGTTCCATTTTAGTCCTGTTACATTGAAGTTAACTTTAAATAACTTGTAGGTGCAAGAGTCCTTAAAAGCCAAATTAGATCAACTTAGCACACAACCAAATATTTTGACCTATTAGATTACCAAAAGTGACAAAGCTTAGAGAAAGATTGTCAATCTTTTGTAAAGGTTTTCAATAAAATTTAGAATACCAGTTTCTTTATTCCCCTATATACAAACCCTCCACCCATTAAGTCTTGCTTTATAAAAACATGCTGGAGACTCTGGTGACCTGAATTCAAAAGCTCATTACCTGTGCAGCATACAATGCATTACACTGCGGTAAACCCTGAATATTCCTATATTATGTGAATTTCTGATTATCCAAATCTTGCATATTCCATTCATTTAAAAGGGAAGCCACTCCAGGCACACCTCACCTTTCAAGTCAAGGAGTGTGAAGTATATTCATTTGAGACCAGACTGTCCCATACACACAAATCAGATACTTAAACTCATGCAAGTTCTATCATTTATACTTCTACCCATCTGAACCACAGGTAAAGGACTGACCAAAAACCAAGCCAATTTAAAATATGGTTTCTGCCCTAATTGTGTCAAAATAAACTGGATAACTATCAAACTCTGGATGACAACATATGGAAAATAAAAAGTTCACCATCTCTGCCCACGTACCATTCAACAACCTTGGTTCAACACAGGAATTCTGTGGTCCTACATGGGATATTAGTCTGATTTCAACACAGAAGAAAAGTCAAGTTAAGCTGCTTTGCTTCTTAAAGGAATTTGAAAGACATCAGGCATTGTGTCATTGGAATAACAGTGAAGAGGATAGTTGACCGAAGTTACTCTAGAACAAAGCCCAGGTGCACCATTTACAGCCGCACTGGCAGAGCTCAGTGTAGAGATTTGCCACACTGAAGAGGAGTACAGAAATGGTCAGTTTTGGAGAATTACTGGAAGACCACTGACCTTTGGAATCATATGGTCTTAAGATATAAAAAGGAATTTAAGGCATGCATATAGCTGTAGGTGGAACTAACCCATGATAAAGGACTGTTGCTTTAGGAATTTTGATGTAGGGAAATTCAAGGACATCATAAAAAACACTCAGCCCCCTATACCACATAGCACACTATAAATTATACATTAAAAATGTGCTGACCTCAAAGTCACTAGTCAGACAAAATAAATGGAACTGCAAGTGCAAACGTTCTCCTCTATTACCTCCAGAAGTACAGTGTTTATAAAGACATGGATCTGCTCCAACATACTGCAGTGAAAAATCAACAACCAGCAAGAGGCTATTACTACATCACTATTTGCTCATGCAAGTTTAATTGATTCAGAATGAGGATCACAACAAAAAGCCAGATTGCTAGCAAATTTAGAAATTCTTACTGGTTGCCCTGTAACAAAAGGACAAGATAATCATTTTTGTTATCTTAGAAGTACATAGGGTTAGCAAATCCAGAACTGAATTCCTAAGTCTGTAAGCATGTGGTCTGTAAGGACTGAATGACAACTCTTTGCTGTGCAATTATTCCTATACTAGGTAAGATGTGGGTAGCTGTTCTTTCAGATTTAGAACAATCAAGTAGTTAGGTGGTGTCCTAACCATAAGATTCTAAATATTAAACTAACCAGATCAAAAGTCCTTATTTCCAAAGCATTGCACTGCTATCTGGTCAGGCAGTACCGGAGATGAAATAATACAAAAAGGCATCAGCCAAATCTAAACGCTTGCAAAAATTTAAAGTCAGAAATCCAGAGAACTGAGTTCATTCATAATGGATTTGGATTTCCATTTTAAATTTTGACTATTTTTAAAATCCAAAACTGAATAGAAGTTTAGCAGAGGAGGCAGGAGTCACATGAAAAGAAGGTTTCATGAAGGTGATCAGAGCAGCCACTAACAATGCATTTAGCATAGACAGATTATAGAAAGCACCTACAAACTCTAATTCAGTTTGTCACTTGGAGTATGCAACATAGCCAGGTCTGTCATACAACACTGAAGTATCATTTCAAAAAATGAAATTAGGGATGTAGCTAAATTTGTTACACATGCACACCCTTTACTCCTAACTTATCCAATACATGCCTCAAGTCTTTTTCTTACCAACATTGAAAATATGCCATAAATCAGCCAATTCCCAACTCAGAGGGTTGAGTTGCAAAACCAAAAAAAAAAAGTGTGAAACTGTGTCATCCGCATTATCTATTAGTGGTGTATTAAATATGTTTTTGCACTTTTATTATGAGCATGTAATAACTGATGCTGATTACTACAAGTAAGGGATTTCAAAGGAACCAAAACTCGGATCCCGAGTTTTGCTACCATCATCTGAATTGCATAATTAGATTAAGTTTGTAAATTCTCCAGGGTAAACTAACCTTTCAGTGCCAGTTTTGTATCAGTCATTATCTCTGTGCTGATGCAAGTTTCGATTCAGACGGCAGGATACTATGGTCGCAGGTGAATCACAGCTCAGAATTTACATATAAACAAATGCCTAAGATGCATTGAGCTCTTTACATCTAGTCCATTCATTTAGTTGTGGGTCTCTTCTAAACCTATAAGGAATTTAACACCTCAGTAACGTGTCCTGATTTTGCTTGGAATAGTCAGATTCTTGGAATATTTCCATATTTTGCCTCAAATTTGTTGTTAATTGCAAATGAAATTTAGATTCAAGCCATTAAGCAACAAATGAAAACATCTTCTCGGACAGTTACTGCTGCGTTTCATGAAGAATGGAATTTCAATTAAACTTAATTCAGATTTCAATTCAAGGAGGATATTTTAGCAGAAGTGCCAAGATTGGATCTGAAGCTTAATAAATTACAGCAACATTTTGAGACAAATTTAACTACAGTTGAGTAAGAAACTAAATAGGAAACTTAAATAAAATTTCAGATTTTCCAATGTTTATTACAATCTTAAGCAAATATTCCAAATATATTTTTATATTGCATCTATGAAACAAGAGATTTATTACAAAAATTAATTGTCAGTAAAATTGGAAAGAAAACTGTTCCTATTGCACATAAATTTACCATGAAAGAAATAACTTTAACCAACTGGTTTAAAATTTCTCCAAATTACAATCCACTCAATTCTGAATTTTCACTTCAGTCTTATGAACATTGCTTAATTCAAAATACTGGATAAATCCATCTTTTTCCAGCACAAACACAGCTTGGAGTTAGCAGTAGACAAATTTCTTTAAACAACTAAATAGATTTAAGAGGTGACAAACAGTAGCTCCATGATACTACCTGTACCATGAAACTAAACAAGCACTTGACACTAGTTCTGAATATTTAATCCAATCTCTAGTCCTACTATCTCCTTCATGAAGTGAAAACCTGAGTAATGCTATGATAATACCTCTATTACCAATACTGACATCACAGAACTGATTTACCTCGTTTTCAAATCAGACTTCCAACATTCACACCTTCCTTTTAACTGCCAATTGATGGATGCTGCATTACTTTTCTACTTTCCCATTCCTGAAAGAAAATGCACCAAAAACAACTTTTCTCCCTCTTCTCAAATCACAATTTCAATCTCACCCATTTATGGACAGATATTAGTAATAAACTGAAACAATCTATTGCATTACTTTGCCGGCACTGACTATTCTCAGGTGGTGATGTACAGCATGAACAATAAAAAGCAGAAATTGCTGGCAAAACTCAGGTCCGGTAGCATCTGTGGATAGAAAGCAGAGTTAACACCGAGTTTAGTGATTCTTCCTTGAAACCCTCTGCAATTCTGTTTTTGTTTCAGATCTCCAGCATCCACGGCTCTTTGTTCTATTACAGCGTGGGTACATGCAGAGAGAATCCACCTTCAACCCATAGTTGCTTTATGACAGACATGTAGAAAGCACCCCAATTGAGCAATGATGTCTACACTTCCAGCTTCAGTAATTATGGTCTTGCTGAATGAGAATCGTAGAACATTAGAAAATGCTCAGTTTCTAAGGGCCATATTGAATTCAAAACATTAACTCTATATCTCTCTCCACAGATACTGCCAGACCTGCTGCACTTACTGTTTATTAAAGAGAGCAGTGTTTTGTGGCTTACACCTCTCAATACTGCCCACACTTATTTCAACAAGGACCCTTACAGTTTGCACAAGTATTGGATTTTCAGTCTCACTGATTTGAGCTGAATCAAATATAGCACTGGAGTTTGAAAAAAAATGCATTAACTAATTACCCAGAGTTAATTCACACCATACTTCAGTAGGTTAGGTTAAAGTGTTTTGAAATCTGAACTTATTTTGTACACGCCTCTACTGTTTTAATTAAATGCTTAATAAATACAAGTGAGGAAACTTGAAGTTGTGCCAAACAAAACCAGTTTGTAGAATTACTTGTTAAACATTGGGGCCACAGCAGCATTATTCATGCCACTGAAGATACATTATCTTCAGTTTTATCCAGAAATTTCAAACCTCTGAATGCAATTTGACAAAGCTTTGCAGAGAAAAGCAGAAGCAGAAAGATGCTAAAACAGATTGTGATAAATATGCCCTCAGTATTAATAAATAAATACACATTGTAATGAACTATTAAAATCTAGATCTGTGGGTTTTAGTAAACATTTACAAGTGGCCAATAAAGTCATGGCTCGTAACGCTCAAATAATTCTCACAATATTCCTATATATTCAACTCCCACATTTTGTAATCCAAAAGGTTCCATTGTACATTCATCTGTAGTTTACAAGTGGATTCTGCATAACTAGCAACTTTACACAGTTGACTAGTGTTAATTTGGAAGCAGTTGATTATTTAATATGCATGCATCTCTGAGCCACATTGCATTTATGTACCACAGCAGTAAATGTGCAAAGAATGCTAAATCACCCAATATATTAAATCATTCATTTGATAAATTCTCAATTAAGTGCTGGAAACATTGGGAAACATGGAGACACACTGGGCCATCCAGAAGTTTGGTCCAGTGACTCGGATTTGTTCTAGTTTTGGAACAAGAAGTTTTAGATTTTTTTCTTTTCAGTGGAATGGTTTTGCTACTACAAACAGCCCACTCTGGTTTCTAAATTAAGAAACTGCATGCCTGGAGAATGAATAAAATGTAGTGAGAAAACATTTTCTTCCCCTTTTGCATCACTGTTAAATAAATACAGTTGAAAGCTCAAATAAGAGAACCCTAAACATATCTCAATTAAGCTCATAGCGGCTTACTATACCAGCACAACTTTACCATTTCCAAAACCAGCAACCCCAAAGCCTTTTCTGAGAGAGATTTACCAAATTGGGCCGATCAGTGCTCAATCAAATGAAGTTTCATTTTGTCATATGTTCTTCAGGAATTAGATGGAGTCATTTCGACATTATTAGCAGCTCATTCCATGCCCTGGACAGGATCCAAATCCAGCTCTTAGAGACAGCATTGCAGCAAGTCTCTCAGTACTTTGTAAAACAGATCAGTGACATGACCCCATCCTAAACAGTATTCCGAGATTTTCACCAATAATTATTCAGGAAATAAACATAACAACTAAAGTGACCAGAATCTTTCCTTAAATTTATATCATCTGAAGTAGGATTACTTCAGTTAAGGGTTAGAAGTAAGTTGCAGACTTGCTATTACCTGATCATGTAAAAATATTCAGATCCAAGGCTTAATGCAGATCTTATTAAATGCATTAGTACTGCAGTTCTGCATTTGGTCAGCAGGGGCTCTAAGTGAGCTACATAAAGGCGACAAAGATCCTCTGATGACAAATCGGGATGCTCCACCATAATTTTTTTTCATTTTACTCCCCCATCAGAACATTGACCAGCATTTTCTGCAGGCCAAGAATAGTAGCTCCCAGATTTTAAACCAGTGAAATGATCCAAACCCAACTGGCCTGCAATTTGCCCAGTGACAGTGCAGCTAACTCAGAAGAATCCTCAATCCAGTTTACTGTTCAATTCACTGAACAGTGATAGGATGCCCTTGCGCCCAAGACAGATGCTTGCCATTTGTTTTGTGCAACAAACCCTGATCCCAGCACCCCTTCTTGCTTGCGGAGGAATCAGACACAATCCAGGTCCAACTAAACCTTCCAAGTGTTGCAAGCTTCAACTCTGAACTGAATGCGGATTCAAAGCATTCTCTTTCTCAGTTTACACAAAGCATTTCTGGATTCATTTAGCATCAAAATGCTCAGTGTAAACGGCACTTGTGTAACAGGGGCTTCTTTTTAAAACCCTGCATAAGTAAAAGATGGAAATTTCTTTGAAAATTAATCCAGAGAAACAGCCACGAGTGAGCAACTTTACTTGGAGAAGCTGTTCAAGTTTCTCTCTTCTTTCACCTTTTGCAGCAGTGCCTAAACGTCATTTGCCTCTATACCACACAGATTTGAAGGGGTCCCAGGACTCTCAAGAGAAAGAAATGCAGACATATCCATATTGTTAAAGTCTGTTAGAGGGTCTGTCTGCAAAGACTGTTGTGTGGCCTGACAGCTTTCATCAGCATTAGAAGGGAAAGTCTGAGACGACAGCAGCGTCTGCTCCTGATCATGGGGTTTCTGGGAAGAACTGGCTTCCGAGGATGGATTTTCCTTGCTGTCAGAGGCTTTTTCTTTCCCTGAATCACGGCAGGCACACTGGCACTGGCAAGACTCCTCTTGCTTGATTATTATGACAGGAACACTCAAACCTATTTGCTGCACTGGATTTCCTGAAAGAAAGAGAAATAGAACATGACTGATATTTATCTAGAAAAGATACAAACTATCCCAAGGACAGCACAGACACTGTGGGGAGGCAGTGGTAACATCATTAGACTTTAATCCTGAAACTAGGCAAACATTTTGGGGAAAATCAGTTTAAATCCCAATATGGCAGATGGTGAAATTTGAATTCAATGAAAACAATGGAATAATGAACTTGCTTAATGGTGACGTTGTAACCACTGTCTGTTGACATTTTTAAAAAAAAAAACATCTGGTTCATAAATGTCCTTTAGGAAAGGAAATGTGCTGTCCTTAGCTGGTCTGACCTACACTGATTTCCAGTCCAACAGTAAGGTGGTTGACTCTTAACTGGGAAATAAATGCCAGCAACACCCACATTCTGTGAACAAATCTTTAAAATTGCAACGTGGTACAGCAAGCTTATTAACTAACATACGGGACCAGGCGTGTGCCAGTTGATCAAAAATTCAAGAGGTCCACATAATCAATGTAAAAACACTAAATATTAGAAATGTATCACTGTCATACTTTACTCATAGCATAAAAGCACTTAAATATAAAATGCAACGTTGCCCAAAATAAAACTAACCGGCAGAAATTTTCATCACTTGCACCCTCAACTGACTACCCAGACATTGTGGAGATTGTGATAATGTTGTAAACTTCACAGTATTTGAAGCATATAACTTTTGCTGGTTTGAGAGTGCTGGTTCAAAGTTTGCTGCACTTTTGGAGACTGAGGTGACAGGATGACTGATTGTTCTTGTTGACTGACTCAAGGGCTTCAAATCACCCACAATAATTGGACAGGGCGACCATGTCTCTCCGTTGATTTGGGTCGGGAGTTGTTTTACTGAGGAACGTTAATGAGCTAGTTGGGTGATTAGTTATTTTTCTGAGCCTACATTGTGACCTTGGTTTGAAACTTGTCATGGGTTACAAGCAGAGTACCGAAATCTTCTAGACTATTGTATGTTACAAGAGAACCCATCCAAACTAGTGGCCTTTTAAGTCCTCATGACAATTAAAAAGCATCTTGTCAACACTATCATACAGAACAACTATGAAAAGAATCGATAATAGAGAATGCTCTTGCCTCCAGAAAAATCTGTCAAAAGATCAGACTCCTAGAAATATTCCATCTTCCTGGGAACTAAATCAGCTCAAATGCTGCTCTGAAATTTAAGAGCAATGGTCTTTTGGAGAAAATTGGAAAATACCAAATTACCTGTGTTGCCAGCGACTGGTATGGCTGTAGTAAAAAACACTTTTTCTACTTTAGGCCCCTGATGCTGAAATATAAAGGACAATCATTAGATTAAAATAAGTTGAAGTTATTCATAATTCAAAAATACAAAATAATTCATTTTACCATCTAACAGCACTGAAGCTACTATACAGGGTCATGTCAAATTTATTTTCCACTGTTGTAGCGAAATAGCACTTCTGATCTGTGATAGATACCAAACCTGTTAAATCCAACAGTAAATTGCACAGGTTGATTTTCTTTTCTTGTCAGCAACTTTAGAAGTCAATGTAAATGTTGATTACTTCAATTAGTGTAATTTTCTTTTAAGCCCTTCAGTTTACACATTGGCTAAACACACTGAGCTAGTTGAAGACAACCAACGTTAAGTTGAAAAGGGTAGCACACCGGAGAAAGTATATAAAAACAGCTCCTGCTTTTTTTAAATGTTACTTTTCACAACCTCAAAACATCACAAGGCACTTCTCAGCCAGTGGAGTACTTTTGAAATGTAGTCAATGCTGCAAGTGAAAACATAGGCAATTTGCACAGAGCAGGATTCCACAAAAGTAAATAGCCAGACAATCTAGTTTAGTGATGGTTAGAGATTACCTCGTTCTTTCGACAGTTACAATATGCATGTTTACCAAGGTGATAAAAGAAAAGACAAAAACTTTCCGCAAATGGTGACTGACCTGATCCAATTTCACCAGTGACTGTTTCTAGTAAGAAAACTCCTCCTTAACTGAAGTATCAAAGAAGTTTCATGTTTCACCAAGTCATATTTAGACAGAAGCATCAAGATAATTCCTACAATTATTTCTTTGGCCCATTCGTTTACTTTCATTTGTTTTGATTAAACTCTGCAAAAGGGCAATGTGCCTTTGGAGGTCTAGATGAAGGCCTATGTGATTTGGCCGGACTGCCTGTCTCAAGGCAATAAGAATTACGTTATTAATGAACAATATGCAGTGACTCAGTGAAAAGATTAAGTTAAGAATTAAGCTTTTGGACTCTATTTGGAATCGGCTGTTGGATACATCTGCCTGAATGGCCTTCTGGATCACAATGCAACCCTTTCAGAAAATGCATTTATTAGCATTCAGTAATTAACAGAAAAAGAAATACATTTGGCAGTTTAAGATTTCCAGAAGGAAAAGAAACAACAGATAAGTGGGATTAATGAGTGAGGCCAACGCAAGCTCAAATGAGTCAAATAGCCTCTCTACTGTATTTCCTGTAACTTTTATGGTATATTGGATGGCTAGAGTTTTTTTTAAAAAAAGAAGTCCCACTTCAGACTATAAAACATGCAAAGAGTCTAGAATTTTTCATGATGTCTGAAACATCATGTGAAATATAATTACCGTTATAATTAACTCAAGATAATTTAAAAGATTAGTGATTATCAGAAAGCAGTTATGATCAAACGCTTCATTCAGAATGTGGTGCCAGTCTTGGTGGAGGCCTTTGCATTGCAATGAAACTTGCCTGGATTGCAGCAGAAAAATTGTTCAATTGCTTACTAAGGTTTAAATTTCACCGCATGAAGAGTTTCGTTGTGGTTCTTCTCTCAATGCAAAAGATTTAAAAAAAAAAACCAGGATCTATGGATCTAAACTACATAATCTGTTCAAAGCACTCAACTGAGAGAAATCATTCTTTCAACTCCATACCTGGTGATTCTGAGCATCACCTGCACAACTTGACAGCACTAAGATTTCAATTTAAACACCAAAAAAAAAACCATGATTACTCAACATGAATGAGGTGGTGCTGGTTACCAGTGAACATGACCAAGATATTTTTCTACCATTATGTAGATAGGTTTTAGGTTTTCAATAGATATCAAAAACCTATATTTAATTGATGACAAATCCAGCAGTACGATTTAACTTCTGTAGAAGTTGATAACCCGAGAAGTTTCATTGTTGGAAACTAATTTTAATTTGAAGGACAACAGAAGGACATGGATATAGGGAATGTACAGTTTTGGCACAGACATCACATTATCTTTTCATGTAAACTACTTAAACAGTGTTTACATAACATTGTGGCCCATCAAAACAACCCAAAATCTATTAGGAATTAGTTTTGAATTCAATAACAATGGCTTTCCAGGAAAGCACCACTCTAGCAACATTGCAATTAGATAAATCAGTTATTCAACCTCTGTGATGCTGGTTGAAGGTAAATATACTGTTGGCTAGACACTGCAAAGGCTCTACTTGTCTTTTACAACAATACTTCTAAGAGTTTTCCCTCCAGTTTAATACTCCCTCTCATCTCCCCTTGCTGAGAATAATTCAGTTTGTTGTTAAGATTGCTATATGGCCATATATTCACACATGAAAAGCATCACTTTTTCACAGCAGAGTGTCCTGGGATACTGCCTGGCTACGCAGCTGCAGAACACCGATTGCAACAGCTCAAAATTTTTGGTTAAACCATACATACTCACTGTTTTCTCTGTGTTTTGCTGAACAGTGCTGGCTCCATTAATGATCCATTGCAGGTTCTGGTCTGCCATTACAATGCTGGGCTGTAGAATAGTGGTGCTCTGTGATGGAGTAATTGTTATACCAGAAGCGTTTGTACCTAAAGGCACACTTTGTACCATGGATGGCCCTGATTCCGCGTTACCAGATGAAGGTAGGCCATCACTTGACATAGCTGGAAGTCCTTGAGTTGGTGGCGGAGGCGTTGGAGTAGGTTGACTGAATTCTTGCTGACTGGTTGTAAATTGAGTCATGGCCGGGACAGGCACTTGTGATGTCTGTAAAATGCTGGTGGGATTCCCAAATGACGTCTGAGGAGAGTTAGTAGCCAAATCATCTAATGAAGTGGAGAGGAGGCCTGATGCTTGCTGGGAATGGTTCTCAACATTAGACTGTGCCATGGTTTGAAGAGGGATGGGAAAAGACAACAGCGATCCAGAATCTCCTAGAGCAGTGTTAACAATGGCTGCAGGCTGCGCATCGCTGCCATATGTCCCAGGTATTCCAATCATTCCATCTTAAGTTTTAGAAGAGAAAGCAATAGTTGTATATTAGAAATTTCTGTAGAATCACAATTACATAGTTTAACAGGGAACTTTCAGACAAACTTTGCAAATGTGACTTTATTACTTCCTTTACCCCTCAAATGATAAACTGCCTAACTTTTGAACAGCAGGAATCAGGGCTATAAACTCAGTGCAGCACTGATGGATCGTGATCAATGATCAGTCAGAAATAGCGAGCTTGTACCTAAATTCCCAAAAAGTAACAAAAAAAGTTTGAACAATATCTCCCTTTTGGAAGGGATATTTCCTGTAATTGATTCACCTTTGCTCAGAAGTGACAAAATATCCTGAGATTTCATTTAAATTTTCCTGTATGACGAGTACTGTTCTAAATAAAATAACATTCACAATGCAACAACATTGAAAGGTTTTCTGAGCATTGTAGTAAATCATACAAGGAGAACTAGTTTTGTATGGGATTACGTTCAGCATGCACCGATTTGATTAAAGGGTCTGTTTCCGCGCTGCATGACGAAGTCGAAGGTTGTAACTATCTGAACAATTTCTCTAAGTGAAACGAACCATTTACCTTCCCTTTCACTTTTCAGAGAACAGATGAAAAGGAATTTAGAGTTTCATATTCACCTCCTACACACCAACAGCTGAACCTTATGCAGGGTTTTTGCTTGGGTGGGGGTCAGGAAGAGGAGACAGATGGCACGAAAATAATAAGATAGAAGTAAAGTCGCCACAGTCTTACCAGACCATAGGGCTGCTTGCTCATTAGAGAGATGTCTGGTGATGTTTTAACCCGAGAGTTACTATGCCTTCATATTAACTTCTGCTAGTGCAAGAACTGAACCACGCTGCTGGCATCTCTCTGCATCGCCATCCAGCCAAATGAACTAATTGATCCCCAAAAAACAACTAGACTGCACTGACCCTCAAACCCCTTCAAACCATTCTTCTGTCCCCTTAAAAATAATTTAAGCCGAGATATATGCTTTTATATTATGTATGTTTGCACATCATTACAAACCCGAACTCATGTGATTTTGGGCTCCAGCAAGGACTCATGTCCTACCAGGTCTAGAACAAGCTTAGAGCAGCTGTATGACATAGCCACAGCATGCATAAAAACAAGACCAGCATTAAAAACAAGACCATGGAACCCAAGAAAGCCAATAAAAGGTGTGCCACCTGACAGAGTTGAGAGTTAGGTGATCAATGGCAGGGATAAGAGGCTTCATCCCAAAAAGGGTGCTGCTCTAACATACTGAGCAGTTAGGATTTGCAAGTCCTGGGAGCCAGCAAATGCAGTTCTGTTGGGGTTAGCATTCAGGAAGAGCTGTGGGGACTGAATAAGCTTGCTGGCTATTAGCAAATCAGCTGCAGCCATGAGTGGGGGTGAAGGAAGCTCACAAGCAGTATTTGCTGATGTGGCTGAAAATTCAGGAGTTCTGAAAATGCAGGGGCAGCAGTAACTTAGTAAAGCTTGCTATCTGTGGAAAAGCCGAAACCGTGCCATTATGAAGGTGCTGGAACACAGTTTCCAGGGGAGTACAGTCTAAGAAAAAAGGAATAAACTACCAGGACTTGGGCAGTCCTGTATGAGCAACTTTTGAGGGAGTTCTAAAGCTAGGGTCTTTAAAATTAAGAACTGAAATTCCTTGTAGAAGAGTCAAAGTTCCAATGAGATTTGGTGATCCATAGTATGACTCATGTCTGCAGTCCTTGCTAAGAAATCCACAGAACCTATCTTGACCATGTTGGATGTGAAAGATATACTCTCAGTTGTCCATAATCCATATTTACTGCACATTGAAATTTTATTGTTCTAACCTTACATACAAAGTTGGTTTGTTCAAAACCCTAAAGTCATGTGACTTTTCTCTAACTCTAACTTAGATTTCCAACTTTACCTACTTTAAATAAAAAAAAAAGTTACTGGTCACTAGCCATTTTAAGGTGATAATCTAATTCAATTTAATAGAATTAAAAGGCAACATTTTAAAGACAGCAAAATTAAAGTTCCTCATCTCTGAATAAATCTCAAATCTTAGCCAAAGAGTCTGTAACTTGTCTGAAGTGTGGCAACGGTGGGAGTTGAATGCATGTCTCCAGGGCATTAGCCTGGGCCTCTGGATTACTTGTCTAATGTGATTACCAGTACGTCTCCAACCTTCCTTTTCAAATGCATACACGTTTATACACGCATTCCTGCAGTATTGGGTGCCCAAAGACTAAATAATCGAGAGGGTAGAAAAATTATTGGCTTTCTGTAAGCCTGAGATGACTGAAACAAATATCAGCGTTCTCGGTTTATACGGATGGAAATATACTGACTTACCCTTTTTACTAGCATGATCAAGGTGGAGTACCGAAGCAATTAACCTCACAAATCCATTCTCGTTTCTACTCATTTACGGTCCTCGTAGATCACCAGATCCAGAATAAGACTTTTCTATGTAGCACACTGCTCCCTCATTTTTATGATTATCCTTCTTTTACCCCACGGACAAAATCTGTGCTAGCTTTTTTTTTACACAAATGAAGACAGCTCTTCAGTATCTCAAACAACTGCTTCATATATGGTGTTATAGTGAGCAAGTCGAGCACTGGAGATGAACACCGCCCAACGTGTTCATTTAGCCTCGTTTCCCAGCACACATCACTGACCGGTAATGAAAAGCAGAAAGTTAGACAGGTTTCACAATGTCCCCATCACTCTTGTCCAAGAATGCAGAGGTCAACTGCAGTGCATGGGCATTGCCTCGCTAGAGACTAACTTACTCATTACAGATCAGAGATCAAACCTAAAAACTTCCTAGGTCTTTGTAGTCCTCATTAATTAAAGACCCATTTATTTTTAGCTGAACAGGATGGGCCTGGACCATTAGTGCAGTTAAAAGAAAGTGGAATACAGCTAGCCGAGATACAGTCAGCATATTCGTACCTGTCTGCTGAGAGCCATCATGGTTGGTACAGCTATCGATATTGTTAAACATGGATTCAAATATGCTTTCTGCTGAAATAGTGCTTAGTTCCCGTCCTGAAGTCTAAGAAATAAAACAGGAATTATTGTGTGGCAATTCATCAGCACTGTCAACAAAAAAAAAAAAAAGAGAAAGTTAAACTGAAGAGCTTCAATGCTTCTGTAAACAAAATTCAATCAATCCCAATTTGCTCCATCAATCTTAGAATTTTTTTAAAGAAACTTAGCCTTTTCCATCCATGAAATTTACATTCCAACTTTGTTAACACAGGAATTACAATTCCCCTTTCCACAAACGTTCTCCCATTCTCTTCCGAAGTCAACAATTACTTCCAGATTTAGATTCCAGCAATCTTTTGACAGTGCAGCATTTTTAACTCAGCATTCTCCTGTTCCTATTCTAAGGTAAATTCAATGAGCCCAGAACACAAGTCAGGGACACTCCTGCCATAGATCATCTGACTTTCACTTCTTTTAAGGGGGAAATATTTGGAATTTACCATTTTTGGTTCACATTAAATTTTCCAAGTAGGACCACCAAATTACAATTCAAAGAGGAAACCTGGCAAACATTACACAATTTATTTTATATTTATTCATTTCAGGCTGAGGACATTGTTGGCTAGGCCAACATTTGTTATCCATCCCCAATTACCATCAGTAAAATGGTAAGTCACCTTCTTGGCCTGCTGCAGCCTACATGGTGTCGATATGCCCACAGAACTGTTAGGGAAATCCGGAATTTTGACACCGTGAGAGAGAGGGAACTGTGACATAGCTCAGAGTAAGGGTGGTGCATGTGTTAGAGGAGAACTTGTAGATGGTGGTATCCTATGCATCTGTTGCACTTGCCCTCAGCTCAAAGCTCATGGGTTTGGAAGACGCTGTTGAAGGAACCTTGGTGAGCTGCTGCAGTGCATCTTTTATGTGGCAAACAATGCTGTCACTGTGTATCAGTGTTAAATGTTAAAGTGGATGGGATGCCAATCAAGTTGGCTGCTTTGCTGGACTGTATCAAATTTCAAGTATTATTGGAACTGCACGCATGCAGGCAAGTGCAGAGTGTTCCATCACACTCCTAACTTATGCCTTGTGAATGATGGTCAGGTTACAGGGAGTCAAGGAGCAAGTTATATAATGCAGAATGCCCAAACTTTGACCCGCTCTTCGTGGCAAGTCCAGTTTAGTTTCTTTAGTCAACAGTAACATCAAGTGCTATTGACGTAATGGGGAGTAGGCAACAGTAATGTTATTGAATGTCAAAGGAGAGAGATGATCATTGCCCGGCATGAACATTACATACCACTTGTCAGCCCAAGTCTGAACGTGATCCAGTCCTGGTCCACTTGGACTCAGACTGCTTCAGTGTCAGAGTCGTTGCAAATGGCAAACATCGGGCAGTCACCAGCATTGCCAACCTTATAAAGGGAAGGTCATTAATGAAACAGCTGAAGATTATTGGGCTCAGACATTAGCCCATGGAATCCCCAGAAATAGAAATGAGGCTGCATTCATTAAATTTCAAAAACCACAACTATCTTCTTTGGCACTTAGGTATTTTCCAACTGATTCCCATTTACCTCAGTTTAACTGGGGTTGTGATAACAGTCACAAACTGCCGATGTCAAATTCACTCACTCACCTCTGGAATTTAGCTCTATGTTTGCACCAAGGCTGTAGTGAGGTCAGCACTGTACAGCCCTGGAAAAATCCAAACCGAATAATCAAGTTATTGCTGAAGTGCCGTTTTACCATGCTGGCTATGAGTTATTCCTTCACTTGGCTAAGGATCAAGCATACATGGTTGGGGCAATGATTGGCAAGGTTATTTTGTCTGGTCTTTTGAGGACAGTATATACTTGGGAAATTTTCCACTTTACCGGGGAGATGCCAGCATTGTAACTGTACTGCAATAGCTCCCTTTTGGAATACAGCCAATGCTGGAGCACAAGAATTATCCCAATGATAAAGATAAACTTGTGGAATAGAAATGGAAAAAAGAAAAAACAAATCAGGAAAGCTACTGCATTTACACATCCTCAGGATTTCCTGAAGCACTTCACTTTCAATGAAGTGCCAAACTTTAGAAATAAAGACTGTTGAGATCAAAGTTTCACAAAACAGTAACAAGATAAATGTCCAGATAAGCTCCATTAATGATGCTTCTTGTGGGATAAACGTTAGCTTTGACAATAAAAAGGTTCCCTGTTTTCTTCCGTGTGGAATATAAAGCACTGAAGAATAAGTGCAGTGCTCAGCACAGTGTCTCATCAGAAAAAGTTTGACAGTTGTGTGCCTCCTCAGGTGTCATAGAGAAGAGATAAGCTAATGTTTCTGAACCACCATCTTTTGACTTAGGGATGATAGTGCTATTGCTAACCCAAAGCAACAACTCAATATAGCATTACAGTTTGGAAAGTGTACTTTTTTTGGGTAAGTGAAAGGTTTCAGCAAATTAGTAAATTTGGTCAGATTGCCCAAATAGATTCACAGGAACAGATCCACACAGAAAGATAATAATGTATTTAGGGAAACTTAGCCAATCCCATTATCAACTGATTTTGATAATGTCACCACAAAGACATGCAAAAGTACTAGTACCATAGAATTATCTACTTTTAAAGTCTGAACCGAGTGTAGGCTGATTACAAAATAAAAAGGTGGTGGCTTACCAACTGTGTACTTTCTCGGAGTTCTGAATCTGTAGATATCAAGCTCAAATCACTTCGACAAAGTGACTGGTTTGTGTCCTATAGGAAGATGAAAATGTAACACATTAATTTTGTTGTTTATCATTTTGTAATTATCCCATGATGCCTTCAATGCAGATTATGACAAGCACATTAAAATCCAAAAACCTGAAAACATTTTACCAGTTGGAATTCCCTACCATTGTGCAGATGAGAAACAAACAGGTTGCCCTTCCCAAATTTCCAAGATGGTCATGAAATTTTCAGATCCGTGGTTAGCAGTGCTGCCTCAACAGCGCCAGGGACGCAGTTCTTGGCAACTGTCGGTGTGGAGTTTGCACATTCTCCCCGTGTCTGCGTGGGTTTCCTTCCAGGTGCAGGCTAGGTGGATTGGCCATTCTAAATTGCCTGTAGTGTTCAGGGATATGTAGATTAGGTGGGTTATAGGGGGGTGGGTCCGGGGTGGGATGCTCTGGGGGTCGGTGTGGACTTGTTGGACCAAAGGGCCCATTTCCACACTGCAGGGATTCCATAATCTACGATCACTCCTCAATCCTCAAATCCATTGGTGATAAAATTCTTTTCATCAAGGTCGAGACTATTTTCAACATTTCTCAGAGATGTTCAATATACAAGTTTAATGTAATGCTTCATATTATTAAATTTTGCAGAAGCAAATTGACCAGCTAACCGCCACCATAAATTTCCAAACGTAGAGGTCTAAAGGTCCTCAAATTTTTTAACCTGTGAACTTGCAATCATTTTTGCTTTATTCCAAAACATTTTCCTAATAACTCAATCTTAATGCTGTTTCACAAGAATCACAGCAAACAGATAAGAATCCATAATTCTATTCTGGGTGATTTTCACACGCAAGGTGAATGACTGGTCAAGTCATTGAGAACTCTGTCAGCAGACTTCTTAGGGAATGACGACGTGGATCTACTAACCTCATTTGTGGAACTCTGATTCAGCAAGATAAATGGATTGTCTTTGTCATGAGCCTTCATGTGACTTTTGAGACTATATTGCGTACTGAAAGTCTTCTCACAGCCATCACTGGGGCACAAGAACGGTCGCTCACCTGCAATGCAACAACACCAATTTGGTTTCAATTTTCAACAATCTGCAAATACATCAGATTCCATCATGAGGCAAAATACTGCCCACTGCATAAACACTTGTTTGTTCAGAGGTGGTACATTCTATTTCAATCAAAGGCAACTATCTTTGGTACATTAAAAGGGGCATATGGGAATACATCATATTCATACTCAGGAAGGATGGAGGAAGCTTGATAGCATAGTAACTAATTC